AACTGATCCCTGTTGAATATTGCTGGTGACAGGCCTTCAGTCCAAGAAACAACTCTCCATCACCTCACTTATTTTGTTGTTCTTGTGGTAAACTACAGTTAAAAGCTTGTACAGTATTTCAGCAACAAGTATAAAATGATCCTAAAACAGATCATGTGTGACCTGAAAATCTAACCAAATTTGTAGTACATAAAACTGCATGAAAACACTCAAAGAATTGACGCCTACGCACACCCTTATGCTCACACTAATATAGCCACCTCTCTAACAAACTAGAGTAACCAAATTGCCTGCTTCTTTCCAATAGGCTGTTCTTTTCCAAATAAAACTAGCCTTAGTGAACAGCAGCAGTGATGGATCTGTATGTGATAACAAGGTGTAGAGCTGGATGAACACAGCAGGCCAAACAGCATCATAGGAGCAGGAAGGCTGACGTTTCGGGCCTAGACCCTTCATCAGAAATGGGGGAGGGGAAGGGGGTTCTGAAATAAATAGGGAGAGGAGGGAAGGCGGATAGAAGATGGATAGAGAAGATAGGTAGAGAGGAAACAGGCAGGTAGTTGCAGTGGGAGAGAGATCCCCTGAGGTTTGTCCGGAGGGAGGAGGGTAAGGCAACCTTAGAAGAGGCTTCGCAGTGGGGTTAAAATTGCATCAGAGATAGTAGGAACTGCAGATGCTGGAAAATCTGAGATAACAAGGTGTAGAGCTGGACGAACACAGCAGGCCAAGCAGCATCATAAAGGATGCCTACCCTGAAGAAGTTACCCTCCTCCCTCTGGACAAACCTCAGGGGATCTCTCTCCCACTGCAACTACCTGTCTGTTTCCTCTCCACCTATCTTCTCCTCTATCCATCCTCTATCCGCCTCCCCCTCTCTCCCTATTTATTTCAGAACCCCCTTCCCCTCCCCCATTTCTGAAGAAGGGTCTAGGCCCGAAACGTCAGCCTTCCTGCTCCTATGATGCTGCTTGGCCTGCTGTGTTCATCCAGCTCTACACCTTGTTATCTCAGATTTTCCAGCATCTGCAGTTCCTACTATCATGGATCTGTATGTGTTAAGGAAGTTCTGCAAAAAGCAAGAATTAACACAACAGGTTGTCCATTCCACACTCATCTGCCACAAACCTGTACGCAATTAATGGTAGCTTCCTTTCTAAGCCAGTCAAGACAAAAATGGCAAGATTTCCAATCTAGAACGAGTTATTATATTACTACATAGATCTTGTGTAAAAACAAAAATAGTTAGCCTGCTTATTGATGTGAAAGGTTTTATGAGTGGTCAACAATATTTTCCACCAAATGACTTATTTACCTGAAACAACTCTATAAAACCTCAAAGAATGTTTAATAAAAAGGTTTTAGGGAACTGAGATGGTGGAATGGATGTGAGTATTATGACCAGATGTTTTGAGTTATGAAGTGACTTGAGGGGGCTTTCTAACTTCTCATGCAGGTACTGGAGTGTACAATAACAGAAAATCGATCAATGTCAAGTTGACTAACAGCACAGAGAAAAGTCAGATATGCAAGTGCATAATTCCTGACATTAAATGACTTTCTGGCAAGGAGACAACATCAGATTAGCAGCTAAACATTTATTATGTGAAATCTGTCTGCAAAGATACTAGTTTACTGCAAATACAACAGGCATTTAAATTAATAATAGCACAGATTGTTCACTCAATTAACAATATGACGTGTTTTCAACTGGAAAATTAAATCATTGAATACTCTGGAATTCTACCTTGTATGGCAGTATACTAACAAATTTTCTAAATGGCTCTCTGAACAGTCAAATGTCACTGGCTTGAGTCATTTACAGAGAATCTGGTAACCAAAAGAGTATTGGCAACAGGGAAAAGTAGCTTTCTGGCTAACATCTTATCTCAGCCACTTGGCTGAATAGAAGTAATATTGGGATGCAACACCCGAAGCAAACAGGATGAGTTCCACCAAATTCCGGTTTATGCTCAACAGGAAGATTAACAATGTTCTTTAGAGAGAATATCAAGTAATGAGGATAATATTCTGAAAAATAACATGCACAAGTACCCTTGCATAAGAATACTTCACAAAGGTTCTCTTTGATTCATCATGTTATTTAAACCATAACAAAGGTCACTCAGATGCTTTAGAACACATACTTTCGAGAAACCAATTTAACCTAAGAGTAACATTTGCATGGAAAGGAAGAACAGTCTCATTGGAAACAAGCTCATTCAGTTACAAATTCAATGCTGTAAATGGTGCTGAATATTTCAGAAATAATCCATTCCATCCATTCCACCATCTCAGTTCCTTGAAACAGCAAAAACAGAAATCTACAGGTCCCAATTTCAGGAAATTATACACAAGGTGACCCTGCTGACAGGAGACACTGAACATGAACTTCACAACCAAGGCTAGTCTTGAGAAAAGGCATTCAATACTGAAAAAAACCAAACAATACAACTCTATGCCTTATAAGGAAACTACCAAAAGACTTTTACCAAATCATCCTTTCTTCTGGTGATGTAGACCCAAACTGACGGGCAAGCAGGTTCAAATTTTAAAAAAAAACTCAGTTGACCTTTATTGGCAACTTAACTCTCTTTATACAGAATAATCAAGTTGGATTTTCATTTTTTGATTATCCATTCACATAAACCTTCAATTTTGTTATTCTTGAGTCTTGGAATCAAAACAAGTAATTTACAGAACTCAGTAATGCTTTCTTTGCAATGTGGCAATGGGAATCCAATCCACAAAAATTTGAGGACTAACACACGTGCAGAAAATAATTTAAAAAACTGAATGAAAATTAATGAAAAGCAGAAAACAATTCCCAGAAAAAGCAGCACATATGTGAAACGCTGCATTAGAAGAGGGCAACAATCTCAGAATTACTATGGTGCAGGAGGGCATTCAGCCCATAATGCCTTCACCAGCTCTTCAAACAAGCATCATTACCTAGTGCCAATTTCCTGCTTTTTCTCCATACCCTTGCACACTATTTCTATCCTAACAATCATGCAATGCCCTCTTGAGTTGAGGTTTTCAACTTTTCTCCACTATATTTCAGGTCAGTGCAGTCCTACCGTACGGAGTCATTGCATGAAAAAAAAGTGTTTTTGTCAGAACATTCTTGCTTGTTTTGTACATCACTTTAATTTACAGCCTCTTATTCTTGTTCTTGTTACAAGCAGCAACAGCTTCGCCTGATCTACTCGATCCAGCCCGCTCAATTTTGAAAACCTCCATCAATTCTCCTTTCAGTCAGCTTCTCTCCAAGGAAAACATTTCTAACTCTTTCAATCTATCCTCATAACTTAAGTTTCTCATAGCTAGAACATCGTTGTAAATTGTTTCTGCACTCTCTCCAATTCATTCACCTGTTTCCTTTAAAGTGGTGCCCAGAACTGTACATGATACTCCAGCTGGGTCTAACAAGCGTTTTATACAAGTTCAAAATCATCTCCTTGCTCTAGTATCCTATGCCTCTATTAGCAAAGCTGAGGACACTATATGCTTTACTAACTGCTTTCTCGACCTGTCCTGCCACCTTCAATGATCTGTGCATATATTCAGCCAGCTCCTGCTGCATCTCCCTTTAGAATTGTAACCCTTATTTTATGTTATCTTTCACTGCTCTTCATACCAAAATACATCGCCTCACAATTTTCTGCAGTCAACCTCATCTGCTACCCATCTGCCCACTCTTTTTTGGAGATCACAGTTTACAATTCCAAGTTTTGTGTCATCTGCAATCTCTGAAGGTGTCCCCTGCACACTAAGATCTAGTACATGAATATGTATCAGAAAATGCAAGGATCCCAATATCGATTCCTGGAGAACTCCACTACAAAAAGTATCCATCGACCATTATCGTTTCCTATCACTGATCCAATTCTGAATCCATGTTGCTACTGTCCCTTTTACACCAAAGACCTATAGATTTCTTCACAAATCTGTCATGTGGCAGTGTATTAAAAGCATTCTGGAAATCCAAGTATATCACATCAACAGCATTACCCACATTGATACTTTCTATTACCTCTTCAAAAAACTCCACTAAGTTGGCTAAACACAATTTCTGCTTTAGAAACATTTGCTGACTCTTTCTAATCAACTCACCTTTTTCCACGTGACTACTAATTCTATTGCAAATCACTGTTTCTAGAAGCTTTCCCACTACCAAAGTTGAACAGACTTGTCTATAATTGCTGGGATTATCCTTACAACCTTTCTCGAACAAGGCTGTAAAGTTTGCAACTGTTCACTGTTCTTCTGACATCTCTCAAGGTCCATAGAAAGCTGAAAGATTACAGCACATCAGGACAGAAAGAATTTGGTGCAAATTGATTTTACACAAATAATTTGCTGTCATAAGAAAATGGAAACTCCATTATTTTTAACTGTCCTTGTCAATACTCATCCCTGAAATAAAAACACTAAAATCAAGTTATTGTTATTTGGGGAAGCTTGCTGTGTGCAAGTGACTGCCCTTCTGCTACATTAGAATGACTGTACTTTAAAACATCCAGAGATTGTGAAAAGTGCTTGTAAATGCAGTGTGACTGCTGGTTCATTTTGCCAACTTGCAAATAAGTGGTTTGTAGTGATTGCAAGTATATAAAGAACATATTTGAAACAGGTATCAAAATGTGTGTGATAATAGTACCCTGAACCATGATTTCAATGTAGCAAGGTAGCAAAACCTGGACAGATGCTTTAAATTGCTGAAATGGCACCCTACTGGTGAACTGCATAGTGTATTAATTCCCCAGACCTCTGTGGCTATTGAGTTGATTGACCACATCATTCTCCTACTACATCTTTCATGTCCAGTTCAGTGGGATTGCCCTCAATGGTTCAATCCTTACACATCAGATACATAGCAGGGGATCTCTGTTCCCACCACAAGGAATAACCAAGTCAGGTGAACTGTGCCATTTTAATTAAAGAATGTGCAGTCCTGTCCAACATTTCTCTCTTAAAAAACGTATGAAACACATACTTACTGCGATATAATAAACTTTGGCCTTTTCCACCAACTGCCAGTTTTCTTTCTGGTCCAGATGTCTTTCCTTATTGTAGCAATTTGCTGCTGCCAGGTTAGCAACAAGAGATCTAAAATAGTCAAATAATGTTAACTAATTATTTGTCATAGTTTAAGTAAAAAGAAAACTAGCAAAACATGTCCTCCATTTCAGAGAACATGAAATATCCAGTAACTTCCGCAAAATTTTATCTAACTCACATGCAATAGTATGAACAGTTGATTACTGACTTACAGTGATCTTCAATTCTGGCAAACACACAAATAACAGGTTTTACAACAGAGTTAGTAGGAACTGCAGATGCTGGAGAATCTGAGATAACAAGGTGCAGAGCTGGATGAACACAGCAGGCCAAGCAGCATCATAGGAGCAGGAAGGTTGACGTTTCGGGCCTAGACCCTTCATCAGACCCTTTCTGATGAAGGGTCTAGGCCCGAAACATCAGCCTTCCTGCTCGGCCTGCTGTGTTCATCCAGCTCTGCACCTTGTTATCTCAGATTCTCAGGTTTTACAACAGTTTGCTCAGCTGGCACAATGGACTGTTGTAAGAAGAATACTTAGTGGTGCACTGGCTCCCTTGAAAGAACACAGCATTTCTTGGGTTTCCCACAGAAAAAGGATGGATAGAGGACACCATTAATATAGCGCTAAATAGCATGAGAAATTTTCATATTTCTTATTTGCATATGGCTAGTCTGAGATAAAAGCTTTGTTGTGTGTAAATATACTGAGAAATTTAATGGGATGCTTTGATTATTCTAATTCACTCAATCTATACATATGTATGCTCTCAGCAAGTTACTGTGATTTGCTTCCTTCTTGTCAAATGTAAAAACACATGCTGCAAAATGGTTCTAGTGAAAGTACTTTGTGGGAAGCAACAGTACTCCACTAATAATTTCAATCGTTTTCCAAATATTTGCTTTTCTCAAAAACCCACTTAATTTCAATGGAAGGATGTTTTAATTAAAAACTTGGAGTAAAAGCCTTTGTCAGATGCTAAGAACACTGAAACCCAATTATATGTAAAACTCTAATTTCACAACCAGTGACATTTTCCAATCCTTACCTAAGAAACAATAATATGCAGATGACAAACATTTTGCAGTATTTTCATATTAACATAATATTGATATAATAACATATGCGAATAAAATGAACACCTACCAGTGTTAGGTCAAAATTTTAGGCTATGTTTACAGTTTGAACCATTTCAATTACTATGAGAGAAAGATCTGACCACATGTAAGACTAACAGCAACGCTGTGGTCTTTTAATTTGCAACTGTTGTGCCATTTTTTTCTTGCATCATACTTTTAATAGCAAGTAAAGCTGGGAGAATGGCACCAGGCAAGTTTCTTTTTACAGGCAGCACGAACAAGAAATACCTATCCTGTCTGCTGCGTCCCTTCCACTACTACAAATGATTTTGGACAGCATTCTCCCTGATAAGGATATGTAGTTCTCCATCAATTTTTCTTTAAACCTTTGCATCCAAAATTAATTTTCTATATATTGTAAAAGGCATGAACTATGTACATTTTCTGTTGTATACTCAAATTGACATTCCGTTAAAATCTTTCAACAAAAGCCAATAAACCATAAAATAATTGGGGTAATATACATGTTCATTACTAAGTGGGTAGAGATGGGGAAAAAAAAAGTGAAAAGCGTAACCTTGGGATTAACACAATATTAATGAATCCTGATGAATAGCTCAACAGCACTACTGAAGTCAACAAAAGTCTCTGAGACTAGGAAGATTTCAGGTGCAATCACTATTGCTGAACTGGAAAATCTACGAGAGTATAAAAGACTGCTTTCTCAGAGTGGTGTGAATTGCTGGAGGTTTAACCTGTGGGTCACCATACCTCAGTCGAGGGGAGGGGTTGAGGAGGAGAATCCTTCATGGTAACATCAACCAGTTGTGGAAATTGAACCCATGTTTGTTGGCGCCACTCTGCGTTGTATACCAACTGTACAGCCAACTGAGCTAACTGACCCCCACTGAAAATCTAAAATGGGGTAGATATATAATTAAAATCTAGGGTCCCAGGCTTTGTGAAGCTCTACAATCTTGATCTTAACTCCTTTTGTTCAGTAGAGATCAGATACAGCATTTAAAATGAGGGCAGTCACAAACCCCTCTGATTTCGCTGCTTTCATTTCAGGCCCCTGATATGGTTTCTTGCATAAAGCATCATATCAGGAGTATGATACTGCCTGATAGCTGCCATAGAGCTGACATAACATCTACCATCAAGACTGGTTACTGGTTGAGACAGACAGCTTATAATTTATTAACAATATTATTTACATTGCTATAATGTAACAGACATACATATTCTGGGACAAAAACAGAGGTTGCTGGAAAAGTTCAGCAGGTCTGGCAGCATCTGTGGAGAAAAAAAATCCAGAGTTAACATTTCGGGTCCAGTGACCCTTCCTCAGAACTGATGGTAGATGGGAAATTGTCGGTTTATATGCAGAAAATAGGGAGAATGATGGGGTAGGGAGTAAACAACAGGATAGAGCCTGAAGAGAGACAAGAGCAGTTGGATTGACAAAAGGAGTTGATAACGATCTGGCTAGGAGGGTGAATAGTTGTTAATGGGGACTGTTAGTGACAAACAACAGGTAGTGTAGAATGGCAGGCTATGTGATAACAAGGCCTGGTGTGTGGGGTAAGGGGCTGGGATACGGGAGAGTTTAGGCTCTAAAATTATTGAACTCAATATTGTGTCCGGAGGGCTGCAGGGTCCCCAAGTGGAAAATGAGGTGTTTTTCTTCCAGCTTAGTTGACTTTTGCTGGAACACTGCAGCAAGCCAGAGACAGAGATGTTGGCCAGGGTACAGGGTGGTGCGTTAAAGTGGCAGGCAACTGGTAGCTCAGGTTGTTTTTTGTGAGCAGAATGTAGATGTAGTCTACACTTCATTTCCCAAATGTACAGAAGACAACATTGTGAGCAGTGAATGCAATAGACCAGATTCTGGGAAGTGCAGGTGAAGTGTTGCTTCACATGGGATGTATGTTTCGGCTCTTGGATAATGGAGAGGGAGGAGGTAAATGGGCAGGTCTTGCACCTTTGCCAGTTGCAGGGGAAAGTGCCGTGGGGCTGTGGGAGGTGTTAGGGGTGAAGGAAGAGTGGACCAGGGTGTCCTGGAGGGAATGGTTCCTGCGGAAGGTGTACTAGGAAGGGAAATGTGTGTCTAGTGGTGGCATCTCGCTGGAGGTGGTGGAAAGGATGTCTGATGATCTTCTGGATGTGGATACTGGTGGGATGGTAGGTAAGGACAAGGGGAATCCTATCGCTGTTGCAGGAGGGAAGAGAAGGGGTGAGGGTGGAAGTGCGGGAGCTGGGTCGGACCTGGTTGAGGTCTCGATTGAATAGACCAGGTGAAAGTCTCTGCGTGGAGTCTGTGGCACATTCCTTGTTCCAGTCCTATTCTGGACCCCACCCACAACTCTTTCTCCGATGATATCATTGGTGCCACTTCCCTCTCTCGTCCAAAATTGGGAAAGTTCATGGATTTCGCTTCCAATTTCCACCCTGCTCTCACTTTCACCTGGTCTATCCGACTCCTCCATTCTCTTCCTTGGAATCTCTGTTTCCATTTCTGGGGATAGGCCGGCCACTAACATCCACTATAAACCCACTGACTCCCACAGCTACCTGGACTATCCATCCTCACCCTGCTCTCTGTAAAGACTCATCAGTTCCTCTGTCTCCATCACAAATGTTCAGACGAGGTCAACTTCGACAAGGGAGCCTCCGCAATGTCCATCATCTTCCCCAACCGAGGATTCCCCAACACCGTTGTTGAGAGGGCCCTCAACCAGATCCAACCCATCTCCCGCACTTCTGCCCTTATCCCTTCTCTTCCATCCCGCAACAGCGATAGAGTTCCCCTTGTACTTACCTACCATCTCCCCTGCATCCGGCGAAGGTGCAACACTTGCCCGTTTAGCTCCTCCCTCCCCACTACCCAATGGTGCAAACATACCTTACAGGTGATGCAACACTTCACCTGCACTTCCCACAATCTAGTCTACTGCATTCGCTGCTCACAATGTAGTCTCTTCTACATTGGGGAAATGTAGCATAGACTGGATGACCGCTTTGGAGAACATCGACGTTCAGCTGACAAAAAAGACCCTGAGCTTCCAGTTGCCTGCCACTTTAATACAACACCCTGTTCCCTGGCCAACATATTTGTCTCTGGCTTGCTGCAGTGTTCCAACGAAGGTCAACATAAGCTGGAAAAACACCACCTCATTTTCCGTTTGGGGACCCTGCAGCCCTCCAGACTCAATATCGAGTTCCAATAATTTTACGGCCTAAACTCTCCTATGTCCTAGCCTCCTACCCCTTGCACCAGGCCTTGTTATCACATAGCCTGCCACTACACACCACCTGCTGTTCATCGCTAACAGTCCCCATTACCAACTATTCACCCTCCTAGGCAGATAGTTATCAACTCCTTTGTCTATCCAACTGCTGTCTGTCTTTGGGCTCTATCCTATCGTTTACTCCCTATCCCATTCCCCTCCCTATTTTCTTCATATAAACAGACATTTTCCCAGCTACCATCAGTTCTGAGGAAGGGTCACTGGACCTGAAATGTTAACTGTGATTTTTTTCTCCACAGATGCTGCCAGACCTGTTGAACTTTTCCAGCAACTTCTGTTTTTGTTTCTGATTTACAGCATCCGCAGTTCTTTCAGTTTTTATACATATTCTGGGTTCTTTGCCTGATGTTACTGTACGCTTTAAGCACATATCATTGCTTGCAGACGAGGATGACTCTTATCCACTATCAGGGTAAATCCGTAGGTGGCTGTACAGGCCAACATGCCTACTGCAGACTCTGTTACACTTGGGACAGAAGGTGGCCGCAGGAAGGGTGGGTAGGGTGTTAGTGTGGCGGTACGCTCCTTTTGCTATTTTTGCCTGACTTCCGCTTTGTCCCGACAGGTGCTCGATGCCTTCCCAAAAGCTCCTCCTCCACTTTGGACGGTCTTGGGCCAATGATTTTCAGGTGTCTGTGGGAATGCTGCACTTCATCAGTGAGGCCTTGAGAGTATCACTGAAGCATTTCCTCTGTCCACTTGAGGCTTGCCTGCCGTTTCAAAGCTGACAGTAGAGCAACTACTTGGGGATGACATGCTCTGGCCATCATAACCGATCAAGGGTGGTCCGTGCCTCGACACTGGGGATACTGGCCTGGTCGAGGATGCTCGTGTTAGGTCTGTCTTTCTTCCCAGTGGACTCGCAGGATCTTGCGCAGGCAGCTTTGGTAGTACTGCTCCAGCGCCTTGAGATGTCTGCTGTTGACAGTCCACGTCTCAGAGACAATTTAGGAGGTGTGGGAACCACCTCAGCTCTGATTACCATGATTTTAGTGTTGAATGTGATGCTGTTGTCCTTGATCACCCTTTGCCTCATGTGGCTGAAGGCTGTGCTCGATCTCTATCAATCACTGCTTTGGCCAACAGGACAGTCCCGACATATTAGAAGTGGTCAATGTTCTCCAAGGCCTCCCCATGGATCTTAATGATTGGGTGTTGGCTCCACAATGCCAGGCCAGGTTGGCAGAGGACCTTTATCTTGTGGATGTTCAGAGTGAGACCTATTTTCTCATTTGCCTCTGTAAAGGTGCTGACGACAGTTGGGTGTACACCCTGAGGCACATAATTAGCTGATACAGTATGTTATACAAAGACATTTTTTTCAAAGCTTTTTGTCTTGCATTCATCAGGACAATTTGTAACATTACTAATGTAAGGGGAAACCAAAGTTGGGACTGTATGAGAAGAGAGTACTGATTGGTTAACAACTGAATTCTGATCAGTAAAGGCGCAACCTGGAGAACGCACCAGTTAATGTTCTTTACATTATAAATTAGGCAGATTGACTGATTAGTCATGGCATTGCCCTGGAAATGAATCAGCAAAAGCAGTCACCCATTTTGTTGAGTTGAAACAGGCGTGGTGCTTGTACATGTTTTTTTGTGTCTGCAAAGTACAGGGCCCTATCCTAAACCGATTGTCAGCACAATTCTTCGTACGTTCAGGATTATCCAGCAAACTTGTTCCAATCATGAAATTACTTTATCCTGGTATTCTCGGAAATTGGTTTTCCCTTACACTGGTATTCTTGCAAATTGTCCTGTTGACTGCAAAACGAAAAATTTTGATAAAATGTGTCTTTTACCAGCAATACAATACTCTGACTGCAAAGCATTGAGAGAATAGAGTGTGTCAGAAAATGGAATCCAAAACCTGCTTGTCAGTATATTAACAATAAACGGCTGACAGAAGAGCAACAGGACCAAAACAGAAATCTATTTGCAGAGTCACAAGATATGGTTGAAGTGCTAAATGAGTACTTTGCATTGATGTTTATTGAAGAGGACTTGGAAAAACTACAGTATACTTGTGTGCGTACACTGGAGAAAAAGCTGTTCTCCTTAAAGCATAGGTAGCTCCAGAAGAGAACATATTGCCAAGAAGAGATTTGACAGAAGTCTTTAAAATCATTATTAAAAAGTGTTTAAAATCGATAAAGAGAAACTGTTTTCAGTGGCTGAAGGAATGATAACCAGAAGGTATAGATCTAAAAACTTTTTGGCAAAAGAGACAGATGCTGTGAAGATTTTAAACAAATGCAATTAATGCCCTTCCTAATAGGATGATGAAAGCAGATTCAATTTTAACTTTCAAAAAGTAACTGGCTAACTCCTGGGGAAAAAAAAGACAGTAACTGCAAGGATTGGAGAAAAGAGCAAAGGAATGGGTACAGATAAAAGTTGAAGAAATTCTGTTAATTTGCTCACTTTTGGACCTAGGAATGTTTTGCCATGGGAATGGCTGAGAATGAGCTCACTGCATCTGTTAAAATAAAACTAGACAAACATTTTTAGTGGATAAAAATACAAGGCTGTGAGGAATTAAGTTTTGATTTGCTCTAGCAAAGAGTCAGAACAAAGATATTGGAGTGAATTGCTTCCTCCCACAATAAACTTCACTGTTTCTGAGAGAATGAAGTAAGAAACGAGAGTCAAAATAATTACGGAGGTTAGACAATCAGGAACTAAGTTCAGTTTTTAAAATTATTGCAACCAGGAATTCACTTCTTCAGAATGATTTGCTCACTGCTACTCCAAAAAGGCACACTTGAACTGGCTCTTCATTACGAAACAGAAGAGATTGGTTAGCTAGAAAGCAAGTGTGCATTGGGAAACAGGGACCATAATATAATTTGGTCCAGTGTTAAAAAATATCAGTGTCAGATCAGTTAGAAAGTACATCGTTCATATGTTGGTAATAGATCAGAAAAATGGAAATACTTAAACAATAAGTACATCCAGGACCAGAGAGGGTGGAATACAACTCCCAATTCAAACAAAAAGGACAAGACAAAATACGAAATTATAACCTAATTAATATTTTATGATAGTCTTACCACAAGGAATGAACTTACAATCAATGTTTAAGAATTCAAGTTAATGAAGTCAGTGAACATCTCTACATTTGACAAATCATAAGAAATAACATGATAAATTTAGGGTATCAATGCAAAAACAGTTTTGACATTTTGTAACAGATAGCCAGAGAAGAAATCAGAACAATGACCAAAAGTGTATCATAATGAGTTTCAGGAGCATTTTAAAAGATGAGAAAGAGAGAGATAGGTTTCAGCAGGGAATTCAAAAGTGTAGAACAAAGGTGGCTGAAATCACTGCTAACAGTTTAATCAGAGACAATTTCAGAGACTTCTAGCAAAGACAATGATACATTGAATTCCACAAGTATAGACAAGTAGTTGGAGGTTAGAAAGCAAAAGGATAAAATAGAGAGAAGTTTCTTTACCTGGAAATAAGTTGACTTTGTTGGTTCATGATCTGTATTGGGTTAGCTGCTATTATTTCTAAATAATTTTTAAGCCCAGGTAATAATGTAACATAATATCAAATTTCGCTGATCACACCAAATTAGAGAATAAAGTCAAATAGCGATAGTGCAACGAAAGTCTGCATGGAGAAACAGATGGTGAGTACAGATTCATGTAGAGAATGGTGCATGTTTTTGCACTGAAACAAGAATTGCACTATAAATGGTAAGATTTTATCTGGACTAGAGTAGAAGGATTTTCTTGCATGGACATGAGTTACTAAAAGTTAGATCAGTAAAAGTCATCATAAAGAGTGTACTGGGATGTGTGGAAACGTGTTGGGAAGTGCACCGAAGCAAAATTTCAAATGGAGTGTTGCACATGGGCTTAAGTGTTCTATTTTAGGAAGGACAAAGTAATGAAAAATGTTTCAGCATATTTTATTGTGAAAAAGTTAACTTACTTACTAAAGTGAGATAGATGAAGAAAGAATTCTGCAGTTTTCGCTCTTTTCCACTAGAGCAGAAATGGTAGATCAAGCTTTTCATAGAATCATATAATGACGTAGTATAGCAGGAGTTGTGTCAGTTCTTTGAAAGAAATGTATTGGAATCTAACTTGCATTTCATTTAAATAATAAAAAGCAGCATCCTAACCTTAAACTAAGTTTCCTGAAAGTAGTCGCTGACCTGTTGTCACCAGTGATGCAGGCAGCACAAGTGCCCGTTGGTTGTTCACTTTGTTCATAATAGTGGGCATCAACGTGGGCTTCTTCAGCTTTCTTCTTCAAAATGTCACCAAATTTATCTTTTCCAATGCACCCAAAGAAAGTCGCTACTTTATGAGGTTGCTGAATCATCCACTGCAATTAAAAGAGGGAAATTTGTCTAAAATTGCATTTTTAAATTTTAAAATAAAACAGCCGATTCAAGACATAAACATGTCACCCCCAAAGTCGACAGTGCATCTGTTATCCAGCGCAATTAAACAATGCCCCACTTGGCTTCAACTTTTACCTTATTTTGCCAGAGTAGATCCAGTTTCTCTTCTCAGTTTTACACTATTGCCTTCAGAATCCCTCAGCAGTTCTATCCTTGCTGTTTTTCCCTATTCCATCTTTCATCTACCACATGCTATGCTTTGACAATAATAACCCAAGTCACAATGTCCGCTTTCACATGAATGCTGCCGACTCTCAGCTCTCCATTCTTGGTAGACTGCTTGTGTGACATGTTGCCTTGGAATAGTCACAACCTTAGTTCAGTTTAACAGGGGGAAGAAAGTGATCATTTCCAGACCCATCGCAAAATCTGCACCACTGTCACCTGAATCTAATTAAACTGGATTGGCAGGGGACTGGAACCTCAGCAGGGAGGCAAGAGTGAGGGAAACAAAGATAGAAATGAAAGCTAGGTAGAAAGCAAAAATGGAAGGCAAAGGAAACTAGGGCTGGCATAAGGAGGACTGGAGTACAAAAGTGTGTGTAAACATATGAAAAAAGACAAATCTAAAGGAACAGAATTTTCACAATAAGGCAGATGAATTAACGGTGCAAATAATTGGATGCAATATCATTCCAAGTATGGAGACACGATTAGTGAAGAGAAATGTAGACCCCTGACAGTCTAATACAGGAGAATTGAGATTTGAGAACACAGAAACAGTACAGCAATTAAACAACTACTTTGTTCAGTCTTCACAGAACATGAGCATAAATATTTCCCAGATGTGTTTGGGGAAAAAAGGGTATTTTAGGAAGAAGGGTTTAAAGGAAATTAGTTGGTAAAGTAATGCTGGAAAAATTCATGGGACTGGGAGCTAATAAATTCCCAGGGCCTGATAATCTACATCCCTGGGAACTAAAGGAGATAGCCATAGAAACAGTTGATATGTTGGTAGTCACCTTCCAAAATTCTGTACGTTCAAGAACAGCTCCAGTAGATTGCAGGGTGGCAACTGCAACCACACAGTTTAACAGTCGGCGGGGGAGGGGGCAGCGGTGCAGAGAGAGACAGAAATTATAGACTGGTTAGCCTGACATTGGTAATACAGAACTGCTGCAATCATTTTTAAAGGATGCACTGTCAGCGCAATTAAACAGTACTGTTTGACAAAAAGAAACATGGAATAATGAAAGGGAAATCATGCTTCACAAACTTAACTGGAGGTTTGAGGCTTGTAACTAGTTGAATAGGTGAGGCAGAAACAGTGGCTGTGCTGTATTTGGATTTTCAGAAAGATTTTGAAAATGAAAGCAGTGAGAAAATACTTGCATAGATTGAAAATTGGTTAGCAGAGAAGAAAGCAGGAATAAATGAGGAACAAAAACAGAAGTTGCTGGAAAAGTTCAGCAGGCCTGGCAGTATCTGTGAAGAAAAATTCAGAGTTAACGTTTTGGTTTTGGTGACCCTTCCTCATAATGGGGAAGCATCACTGGACCCAAGACGTTAATTCTGATTTTTCTTCACAGATACTGCCAGACCTGCTGAAGTCTTCCAGCAACTTCTGTTTTGTGTTCCTGTTTTACAGCATTCACAGTTCTATTTGTTTTTATTTGGGAATAAATAAGTTCTTTCCAGAATGGAAGGTGGAGCACTGCAGGGATCAATGCTTGCCCCAGCTATTCACAATGTATATCAACGATTGGGATGAGGGAATATCAACTATAATATTTCCAAACTTGTTGACGACACAAAATTAGGTAGGAGTGGGTGTGGTGAAGAGAACATGGAGACATGAAGAGACCAGAGTTTCCTTAGAGGTCTGAAGGGTCACTTGAACTGAAACATTAACTCTGATCTCTCCCCACAGATGCTGCCAGACCTGCTGAGCTTTTCCAGCAATTTCTGTATGCAGGGATGATGCTGGCCAGAGGTCCAGAACAAAGGGTGTTATTGTCTAAGGACATGCGGTAGGTCATTTTGGATGGATGGAAGGAGAAATTTCTTCACTCAGAGGTTGGTGAATCTGAAGAATTCTCCACCACAGAAAGCTGTGGAGGTAAATTCACAGAATATATTTTGGAATTAAATAAATATATTTCTAGAAGCTAAAAGTGTCAAGAGATATGGGAGAAAGTAGGCGTACGGCAATAGACAGAGAATCAGCTATGACCATGTTAAATAGCACACCAGTTCAATATGCCGAATAGCCTGTGTTCCTATGTTCTTTCTTCCACTGTTTCCATTTCTACTGTCTCAATTTGAAAAACTGCTGAAGCCTCTGTAAACAACTTGATGCTGAGCCAAATTTCTTATTTGCATATTCTCTACCACAAAGATGTGCATGGCTCATATTTCCACTTATGTAGCATATTTCAGTTTTTTTTAGGGGGGAAGGAGGCATGTAGTGGCAATGCATAACACTTAGCGAATAAAAATAATGATGGCACTCAGTCACAGTTCAGTTAATTGACAAGGACCTGCCTTTGGGCACAGAACTCAAGAATAAGAGAACATCACTTTCCACATTCTCAGTTTGTGCGTTGCTGAACTTGTATTCAATACTCCTCTCACTTTATAACTCAATTATTCTAATGCCATCCTGGCCAGCCTCTCATTTTACTTGCTTCATAAAACTTTACCTACCCAAAATTCTGCTGTCCATATTCTACCTGACACAATGTTTCTCTGTTCCACTTACATCTTCCACTGGCCTTCACTATAAAACACTGGTACCCGGTTTCATATTCCCATTCTCATCATTAAATCCCTTCAAGGCACTGCTGCTCAACATCTATAACTTTCCTCCAAACTTCCAAACCCCATACCCATTTTCTCAGACTTCAGTTTTTGGGTACCCACCGATTCTTTGAGCAAAGGCACTTCCTGGCATCTCTTTTTCTTTCATTTCTCCCATCTCCTTCACCATTGTCAAATGCCAATTTTTCAACCAATCTTTTGGCCACTTTCCCAAATACTCTTCAATGGCTAGGCATTCATTTTCTCCTCTCCCCCCCGCCACCTTACTCTTCTTTGAGATGCCGTGTAATTTGTTTTCTATGTTAAAGATGTCATTCAAATGCAAGTAATAGGTGACGACTGCAAAATGTCAGCAGTCAGAGTGTCTGGATCAGTAACAATCTTTTTCTTTGGAAGAACTGATCACTACCAAATCTACACAAATACTATGAAAGATCATATAATAGTTTCAAGTATTTAGACCTTCTACATGCAGTTCTCCAAAATCCTGTTGCTTTTACCGATGAATATTAAAGCATGAAGCAACAGTGAAGCTTTTTAATAGTTTGAAATATGAACAACCAAACAGGCTCAATTTTATGGAGTTGAGGACTGCTTGTTTGAAATAAAAAGGAGCCATCCAGATCCTCCAAATCTACTAGACATTTGACAAGAGTCAACTGTCATAGAATCCCAACAGTGTGGAAGCAGGCCATTCAGTCCAATAAGACCCACCGAACAGCATCCCAGCACCACCCCCCACCCTATCCCCTTAACCCTGCATTTCCCATTGCTAATCCATCTAGACCACATATCCTTGAGCACTATGGGCAATTTAGCATGGCCAATCCACCTAACCTACACATCTGCAGACTGTGGGAGGTAAACTGTACAACCGGAGGATACCCACACAGACATGGGGAGAATGTGTAAACTCTATGCAGAAAGTTGCCCGAGACCAGAATCGAACCTGGGTCCATAGCACTGAGGCAGCAGCGCTACCCAGTGACGACCTTGCCACCCAACTGAATTATTGTTTTCCGAAAGTTAATGGTGACCACCCAAAGTACCTTTTGTTAAAATTCATTCACAGGATGTGGGCATCACTGGCCAGGCCAGCATTTATTATCAACAACAAAAACAAAAACAAAGTTGCTGGAAAAGCTCAGCAGGTCTGGCAGCATCTGTGAAGGAGAAAACAGAGTTAAATGTTTCAGGTCCAGTGACCCTTCCTCAGAACTCGGCATTTATTATCCATCCCTAATTGCCCAGAAGGCGGTTAAGCGTCAACCACATTGCTGCAGGTCTGGAGTCACGTGTAGGCCACACCAGTTAAGGATGGCAGCTTCCTTCCCTAACGGACAGGAGTGAACATTGTGAAGCAAACACACAGCTAGAAAGGGTAACAGCAAGTCTGTGACCTTGATTCATTATTGATCTCATCCCAATGGTGCAAGCAAGTTGTTGGTGTCCTTGCAACTTGGCTGTACATTGCCTCAGAGTCTATGAAGCACTTATCCTCGGTCTTTGGCAAGTGGACAAAGTTGCTGCCTTTGACATATGTAGTGAGTACAACAATGGACTAGATAATCTCCCCAGCATTTTTGATTTTGCACCATAAAAGTAACAAAATATCACTCGGTCACTTTAGGCATAAATTCCATTAAGTTTAACTTACTTGCTGACTCAACATGGAAGACTGTAGTTTGTGGTTGAATAGCGTGCAATAAAAATTTACACTGAGTACTTTCTTTCATATTCCCCATGACTTTCTTGATTTTCTATACTCATAAACGCTTCCATTATTATTTCCAGATAAATATCCTCTTCATGTTATTATATCATAAGTAAAAAAAAAATCAAAAAAGCAACAGGGAAAAAAACCTATGCCATAAAAACTTTATTGCATTGCAACTCTTTGTTTTACTTAGTTCATCAACAGGAAAGAGTAATGTGGCTTCTGAACACTATCACACAGTGAATGCATTTTAAAACTTCCCAGCCTTTTCACACACATTCCCCATCAGCAGGAATAAACACACTGTTGTGAAAATATCACTGAAAAGACAATGGAGACAAGTAAGGACTGCAGATGTTGGAAGCCAGAGTCTATAGGTGTGAGGCTAGAAAAGCACAGCAGGTCAGACAGCATCCGAGGAGCAGGTAAGTCAACGTTTCGGGC